CGCCCGCGCCCTGCACATGCTCGCCGGCCGCGGCGGCGGGGCCTCAACGACGGCGAGGCGGCCGGCCGATGGGGCGCCACCGCTCCGCGTGCTCCTCGGCGGTCACGGCTGTTTTGCCTCGTCGTGGTGTGCAGGGCGTGGTTGGCCAGGAAGAGAAAAAAAAAGGAGAGAGAAAGGGATGGGTGGGTGGGTGTGTGGACCAATGACAGGCGAGCCAGGGTCACATGTAAAAGGACATGCCCCAGACGAGGACGACCCAGAGAGCGTCCGCTCGTGTCCGTTTCAGACCCAAAACCAGCCCAACTTTGGTCCCAGGATGGGGTGAAGCGGACAGAAAACGGACGTCTTTTTAGAATGTGGTCGCACGCTGGGTCGTCTGATATGTCCCTTTTATCCCAAACGAACGGGACCGGACAAGATAGGGTCGCGCGGTGGAGTTGGCGTTACGTTTAAGCTGATTCGACCGTCCTCTAACGCCAGAATACATTTTCCCTCGAAAACAAACTCGATCAACTCTGCGTGAAACATCCGGCATCTTTGATCTGACGTCTTATAAATCTTTAAATAGCCGTCAGAACACGCTGACGTGCTCGCCGCCGATCTTCAACTGCCGCACCCTACGCAGGCTCGAACGTTGTTAAAGAAAACGCCAGATGTTGAGTAGGGCATTTTAAAGACCGAGCTTCATGGAGCTTTTTATTTAAAAAAATCAAAATTCATAAATTTCAGTTTAAAATTTATGAAAAAATTAGACATGTATGCAAGGATGTAAAGTGTATGTGTGAATTTTTTTAGGATGAAATACCTTGAATTGCGAGCTGCACAAAAAAATAAAATCATGGACTTTAAAGATGAACAGTACGTATGCTAAAAAGCCTCAGATTTGTTTTTTTTTTTGTGTAGCTCACATTTTATTGTATTTCAAACTAAAAATTTGCACACGTGTGCATTATGTATCTAGGTATATGTGTATTTATTTTCAGAATTTTTTGAAACTGAAAAATTTGAATTTTGAAGTTCTCAAATAAAGACATCCATGGAGCTCGGTCTCCGTTTGGCATTTTCGCCGGATGTTCTCTTGTTCGGTATACACACGACGTGCTAGTACTGCTTTTTTTGCTCCCTGCACTGCATACGATCTGTTTCGATACGTTCTTGGTTTTATTATATGCAAACCACGTATGTACTACTCCTTCCGTTCTGATTTAATTGTCGTGATTTTAGTTCAAATTACATACGTGCATGGGAATCGCTGCACGCTAGTCTAGGAAGAGGACATTGTGGCGCAAATGCATCCTCGTGCTCATGCAAAAATGTGTCTTGAAATAAGAGACACCCACATGCCTCGCGAGTCACGAGCACCGGTTGCCGGCTACAACGAAGTGTAGGGCAGTCCGATGATGGACGATGTGCGTGCGGCCGACAGGAGCACGGTGCACGGCCCCGTAATTCAACCCCGGCGCAGGAGAGGGAGCCCGCCACCGCCAGGGTTGTCCCACGTAAAGCGTACGTGCTGGCATGCATTGACATCGGCATGCATGCATGCATGCGTCTCGCCGCCCGTACGTGCGAAATCAACAGCCCGCGGATGCATTCACATCATCACGTCCTCCCTTCTACTCAAGATAGCTACCGTCGTGAGCACACGTACCGAAGAAGTTTAAGGATACAAATTTCAGAAATTTATAATCCGCAGAAACAGGCATGGTAGAAAGTAGGATGTATCTTACATTACAGGAATGTGAAAAAAAATGCAATAAGACTTCACAAAGCCAGCGAAATTTAATTTTCAGCACGGGCCAAAGTCGCGCCGCCGTTGATTGTCAAAGCAGAGCCATTTGACATTGTATTCTATGGTTGAAAAGCCGGCACGCTAAGGTCTAACTGAGCCGAGTCAATGTCCGCAAGGATAATCCATCATCATAGAAGCCTTGTGTAGATCAGAGATTTCGGAGCCAAATCATCTCCCTGAACAAAAAATGTGCTACATTTGCAACGACGGCGAAGAGAACGCCTTAGCGATGGGGGAGAAGCACGAACCACAAAAGAATGGTATGTTGCGTCAAGGAGAAACCCAGGGAGAGAAAAGAAGGCCATAACTTGTGCCACAAAAAAAAATACTTGGGAACATTATCTCAACCCGCCAAAGCTGGTGTTCTGTTGGCTGCCCGCAACACCACCACCACAAAAAGCAGGAAGAAGAAGATCATTACCTTGGCACCAACATGAAGACACATGAAGCACCTGCACAGATCTCGAAGGATCTGAGACGAGTAGACAACGCCGCCCAGATCCAACACTGATCGCCGAGAGCCACCGTTTCGATGGAGATAGTTCAGATCTTTTTTTGAATTAACTTGACTTTCTTTTGCACTAGTATATAAATTTTTCACAAATAATAAAAAACAGTGTTGGCTTCAGGGCAATTTTTTTTTGCTATTGTAGGTCACTATTCACACTATTTTGAGCGATTTTTTATAAAAGTGAAAGGTTTTCTTATTTTTGTTGATTTTTTCACAAGAACGATAGAAGGTCAAGTTTATTTTTAAAAAATAATTTAGAATTATTTGAATTTTTAATGTTCAATCTGTTTCCACATATAAGGTGTACATACACCCAGGAACCAAGCATAATTTAGAATTATTTGAATTATTCTCTTATGCTCTCGGTAAGAAAGTCTAACATATATGTAGGTCGACAGCGTAGAGTGATATGTGACAAAAGTGGTCATATCTTTCGTCCAAAATTTGCACCTCGACATTTACTCCCACAATTTAGATAGTATATTGAATTTCAGGATGCACCCTAATCAGACCATTTGCATCGCACACCATGACACCAAGGACATTTTTTTTATGTGACCACCAACTTCTCTGAAACACTGCTTCGAGACATGCGCAACTTACATTATTCTCCGCGAGCCAAATTAGACTTTTTCACAGATCAAACAAGCACTGGATCAAAGACCTATCATGCTGCCTTAATGATATTAATAACTCGAACAAGTTACAAAGAATGAAGCATTGCTCCTCCTTCTTCTTTTTTACTGGGAATTTTTTATACGTTTATATATGTCCCTCAACTATTAAAGGGGAAAGGAGAGCATTGATATTCCTAGACCTACTGCAATTGCTGGTTTGCTAGTACCGGAAGAAGCGCTGCTGCATTTGCATTGGCAATGATGGGAGCAACAGGAGCAGTACGATGCACACATCTCCTGCATTTACTCATGAAACGAATCCACCTGCACGATTAGTTGCACGTTGCATCGCCGGCACTGTATCGTGGAAGCGCCAATACTGCGATAGACTGCTACTGTTCCAACTTGTTGCAATACATGGATCATCAGTCTCCACGGAGCCATGGTTTTAATTTTTACTAACTGGCCATGTATTCGCCTAATATCAGGGATCACGTTCAACAACCTCTATAGTGGTTTTACTATGAACAATTTTTACACCAGCAGAGCATTCTCCCCGGGCGGATCCCAATTGGAATGCGGGCCATCTTCTCCCCCATCGTCAATCCGGTAAATGTGCAGGCCAGCAGCACGCTCCGGCCACTGTTCCTCGCAGATTCACGAAGGTAAAAACGAACACACATCTACCCTACCCTACCCTACCCTCATCAGAAGGCTGAGGCTCAAGTGTTTTCTTCATTTCCCACACGTACCCAGGCTTCTCCTTGACCCTGATGTGCACACGGACGGATGACGGGCAGGACCAACTGTCAAGCGTACACACCGGCCCCGACGGCCCTTTTCCGCCCCTGCAAGAGGCCCTCTTTTCAGATCCGTGCCGTGCCGTGCCGTTCCTGGTACCCCCTACTCGCTATTAGTACCAGTAGTAGTAATTAGCAGCGCCTAATCAAGCTTGCCATCCTTTCTGGTGCGCTTCTTATATCTTGCTCCCCTCTCGCTTCTCCCACATTTGGGTTTCGCTCACCGTGGCCGTCCGCTCCGCTCTGCTCCGAGGAGAGTCTACCGCTCCCAGCTGCTTCACTGACCCTCCAGTGATCGATCTCCTACTCCAAGGTAGGTAGGCGGCCAACCTCAGCCGGAGGAGCGGAAATGGCCGGAGGCTTCTGGTTCTTGGCTGGTCGGAGCGGGGAATTGCGTTGATTTTGCACCTCTTTGGCCGCAGGGGAGAGGAGGAGGAGCAATGGGGGAGAGCGAGTACCGGTGCTGGGAGGAGCTTCTGCCGGACGCGCTGGGGCTCGTCTTCCGCAACCTGCCGCTGCAGGAGGTGCTGACGGTGGTGCCGCGGGTGTGCAAGTCCTGGGGGCGCGTCGTGGCCGGGCCCTACTGCTGGCAGGAGATCGACATCGAGGAGTGGAGCCAGCAGCGGCACAGCCGCCCGGACCACCTCGTCCGCATGCTCGACCTGCTCCTCCGCCGCAGTTCCGGCGCCTGCCGCCGCATCTGCGTCTCCGGCCTCCCCTGCGACCCGCTCTTCTCCTTCATCGGCGACCAGTAAGCATCAAGCATCTCACTCGCTCGCCCACCATCGCGGGCGCTCTGAGGGCTCACGAATTTTGTTTGCTTGGCTAGCGCGCGCGCTCTGAGGACGCTGGAGATCCCGCGGAGCGAGATCAGCGACGCCGTGGTGGAGGCGGTGGCGCCGGGGCTGCCCAACCTCACGTTCCTGGACGTCAGCAGCTGCACCAAGATCGGCGCGCGCGCGCTGGAGGCGTTCGGCCGCCACTGCCGGTCCCTGGCGGCGCTCCGGCGCGTGATGCACCCGATCGACGTGGCCGGGCGCAACGCGTGCGGGCAGCACGACGAGGCCCGCGCCATCGCGCGCACCATGCCGGCGCTCCGCCACCTGGAGGTTGGCTACATGCTGGTCACCACGGAGGCCATCCTGGAGGTGCTCTCCCGGTGCCGGGGCCTGGAGTTCGTCGACCTGCGCGGCTGCTGGGCCGTCGACGAGGCGCTGCTGCGGGAGCGCCACCCGCGGCTCAGCGTCCTCGGCCCGGGCGTCGACGACTGCTTCGAGAACAGCTACTGGGAGGAGTGCTCCGACGACGACGACGACGACTCTGACGACGACGACGACGTCTACTCGTGGGAGCTCATGGACGACGACGAGTACTACGGCGTGGTCGGCAGCGACGACGACGACGAGGCGGTGTGGGGCGACGGGCCGGGCCTCGTGGAGAACCTCGAGGTGCGGTTCTACGGCGGCGGCTTCAGCGAGAGCTACGCCGGCTTCGACTGGCCAGCGTCGCCGTGACAGTCACACTCCCGGCCGTTCGTGCTCACCTTGACCGCAAAAGAAGTCAAGCATCTTTCTCGTTCTCGACGTTCCTACGGTCGTTGGCGTTCAGATATGCGTTTGTGTGCGTGCCAGTAGTAATCCGTGTGTGTGTGTGTGATGTAAACTTAATCTGGTGTCAAGTTCAAAAAAACTTAATCTGAATGTTTACTACGTACACTAGTAATTATGCACGTGCAACGCACGTGTGACTTTAGTAAAAACAGGTTTGCATTAAGTTTATTCTGAAACCTGAACTTGTATGCATACTATTATACCAACTTAAACTTCTAATCCCTAAAATCAAACCCTAAACCTTGTTCTCGAGCTGCCAACAACCTGCAATCGCAGGTGTTTATTCACACAAAATCGAACTGCAACCAACATGTATTACTAAGCAAAGCCAAGGGGGTCGCCCAAAAGGAAGAAACAAAGCAGATAGCCTCACATGGACCAGCAGAGAGCAATGGTCTTGAAGATTGCAAAGCATAGAAGTGTAAGAGAAGAAAAGTACTCTTTGTATCTGAATTTTGCCTTCCTTTTTGTGTGCGCAGGCTGCATCTGTGTCATGTGGAGAATTAATCAAGATCTGCAATGAAAATGTTAACACTTTGCATGTGTTCCCATGAGTGATGGTCCGAACTCCGAAGCCTATGGAATGAAATGCCTTGTACTTGTAACATTGAAGTTGTTTACTGTACAAATATGCTACTGTATGCAAAGAAAACACCATTATTTTCTTGTTGAATCATCAACGTTGTGCATATTCCTTGGAACCTGACACAAGGCAGTTTGCCAGGAATTTCACTCTCACATTAAGCAGCATGAGATTACCGCCCAAATAATAAGAGCACTTGGTTCGTTACAGTTGTACACAAATGAGAAGGCTTTACTGCAACACAGTACTGAATAAGAATACAATCTTCGAAGAAAAGCCACCTGTGGCATCAAGGATGTCATCTATACCAGAAACCAATGGCATCTACAGAGCTAAATTCTTCATAGGTCCAAAATACACAACAAAGTGTCAAGTGCTATTTAGGAAGAACCTAGTCCTTTACATTGGTTCACATTGCCCTCACATAGAGCTGGGTATACTACAAATCATATTGTACAGGAGTGACTGCTGCATCATTTAATTAACTGAATTGTATGCAGGATACATCATCAGATCACACCATTTACAATAATAAATATTACCAGCAAAGAAATAATACCAATTGAAAAAAAAACACTTTGGTTATTGGACGCCATGAGACAGGGGAGCAGCGAGATGGGGGGCCCATGAGACGAACGGTGCCGCCAGATGTGGCTTCTTATCTAATCAAATTCCATCATACAAACAAAACAGAATTAAGAGGAATTTTTTTTAGATAGCCTCACATGGACCATCCAACACGTCCCAATTTTGCGAGAAACAAGCAGATCATCAATAAGCTCTTACAACATTGCTCACGAGGCTCTAAACTCTGAATTCGAGTGTGTCTTGTACTATAATTGTTTAGCTCATAGAGATAGCCCTGGTGGGATCATAGATTCTATCGGCTATAGGCAAATGTTGCAGGTTATGCAATTCACGCTATAATTGACTGAAAATTTGGCACGTCTCCCTATTAAAGAAAAGGTTGCAATGCAGAATAGTGGTATAAAAATTAGAAGGTCAAAGGAACTACAAATTACCAAGAAGAAGAAAATAACAAGTGTGAAGCAGATCAGTGTTACCTTTGTGACGTACTCGCCTAAACCCTTCCAAAAATAACAATCAAAGCAAGCGGCTGCAGATTCAAAAAGGAAGGATATGTGTACAGCTCGTGTGCTCTTGCAATTTTTGATATGAAAGAATGCATTTTGTTTCAGCGCAAAAAAAGAAGAAAATGATGATAGGTTACAGAAAACAAATACATACACCAAATTAAAGGAACACATTTTTTATTTGCAAAAATGAAATCAGGCAACTACGCGATTTAAAGGAACACATTTAGTTTTATTCTAATCTGGATCCAAGAGGACATCAAATGCATGAATCCAATGTTGTGGCACTGTCACGGAGTACAGGCAACATTCCCAGCAACTTGATAGAAGATGTGTTGTCAAACGCACCGTTTCTTGACAGTCATGTACTTGAACCAGTTACAAACTCTTACTAAATGACTCGCCATTTCTTAATAAAAAAGACAGACAAATGACGATCTCTTAATATGCTCAATAGAAAAGCATTGCCAAACAAAACTCCACTTGTGGGTCTGACAGATTGTGAGACTGCAAGCGGCCAATAGCTTTCCATGTTCCATCCCAGCAAGTGGTGTTGATTTAGCCTACAAGAGAGTGAAATCTCATTATAACTCATTGGTAAACCATAGACATATTCTGCATCAACTAATGCGAGTACTGTCATTCAGAGACAAATAGTAAGGTATGAACTCTTGCCCAGCAGTATATTTCTCTTGCAATGCCAAAATTTTCAGTGGTTCCTAGAGTTTAGAAAGCTCAGAAATACTATGCATTCATCCATTTCGAGAGTTTATATGAAAAAAAAGAACAAGCATCTACTGCAACCTCACATTTGAGCACTTAGATTGAGCACACATGTTCTGAACCAGAAAAATCAAGCACGGTAACAGGTAAGGTCACCACGCACGCACCTGGGAGCATGATCTCAATTCTCAGGGAGAAGGCGTTTGACATTAGGCAGCAACCGGGTTCCCTTGTCCGACTGACCTTACAACACCATCAGGTAGAGCGAGACGGCGAGAGCGTGCGGGCGGATCTCTTCTGCCTCCCCTTTTCTCTCGGCTTCTTTTTTGGCTGCCCTCCTGGAGTGTCCTCTAGCCACCACTTGGCCCTAGAGAGGAGGCCATGAAGCCGAGGGCGTCTTCCTCTCCGCCGGTGCAGGAAAGCAAGGAAAAGGAGAGGGGCAACATGAGGAGGGGAATGGAGGAGACCCGTCGCCGTCGCCGCCGACGCAGGTTCAGCCCGCTACATCTCGCGCCGCCGCCACCGACGCTCGACCGAGGAGAGGAACACCGGCATCGCAGATGCAAGTTGAGCCCGCTGCATCCCGCGTTGTCGACGCTGCTCGAAGGATGATAGCGACCCGGTCGCGTCCTATAGCGGCAGCAAGGAGAGAGGAGGGAGGCGGAGGCGGAGGCGGGTGGAATCGATTCCCCTGTTGCGGGCCGGTGGGTGATCCGCGTGTTGCGCGAGGGGCCACAGAGCGCTAATAGGATTGGCAGACCACGGCGCTTGGCAGAACATTTCATCTGAGTCGTTGATCTGATTGACAGACTATTAACATGATGTAGACGGTGGGATGTGTGTAACTTAATTTGATCTAAGGGTTGTGTTTATCCTGTGTACACTTTATGGTGTGGGTTTAAAAAAACTCAAGTTCGTTCTTTTAATAGTAGTATAGATGAAGCAAATCAAGATGGTGTTTACATGTACCAGCGTCAGTGTCAGTGTCAATGTCATTCTACCCTGGTGTACATTATTTAGCACGGGGAGCCAGTCTGCGACGTTGGTTGGAGCTTTGTGATGTACCTTTTATTTATTCATTCATGTGGCGCGGTACAGACATGGACGGACGTACCGGCTTCTCCATGCACGCTCCTCGTCATGCATCCATCCATCTATCGGACGGGACGTGCAGCGACGTGCCGCAGCGGCGCCGAGACGGGCACCACGTCGCTCTGGTTTACTAGAGGATAGGATTCTTATAGATTTTTTTTTCTTTAGAGCCTTTGATTTATAGGAATGGATTCCTATTTCTACATAGGATTGATTCCTATCCTTCACATTTCATAGGAAAATAAAAAAGAAACTAGACTTAATGGAAAAATTCTTTTAGTATCAATCAAATGACATCTTGTTTCCTATTCCTACTCCTAGGATTTAAGATAAATGTCATCTCATTTCATACAAAATTCCTATTTTTATAATAATTCTATCCTATGAATCAAAAGAGGCCTATATGTCAACGCAACGTATGGTCAGTATGGTTAAAAGAGGCTCGGCTTTAAGGCCGGCCGGACCACGGTGACCACCGGAGCCAGATTTGGTCGAGATTTCGGGGTCCAAAATCACGGTGCCATCTTTTCAGAGAAGGGCGCAAGATCAATCAGCTTGGCACTTGCAGCGCTCCCCCAATCAGCCAATCCTCACGCAGCAGACAGAGCATCAAACTTGGAGCTGCACGGCAAGGTTAGATTCTGCTTGGGCGGTAGCGACGGTGTCTGCAGCGAGCTTATTTACTGTAGCATCTGCGTCGAGGCATGGTCGCTGGTCAGGTCTAGATGGATGGCGATACAACACCTCCGGCTCTGCCCACAAATATTCGATGCTCTGAGCTGCGATCCTCTGCTAACTTTGAGACGGTTTTTCTGAACCTGTACGATTCATTAGAAACAGCAGCCGAGATATGGCGCCGTGCCATGGCTACGAGACGATCTTTCTTGATCAGGGTGGCCTCGACAGACAGAAGGGATGAAGGAAGGGATAAACACTACTCTTTTGGCTGGCACTAATCGACAGCGAGCACCGGCATTAGGGATTGTTAATGCGATCCTCTGAACGGGATGTCTGTCCGCGGGCGCTCTCAGGCCACGTTCCCTATCACTTTCGGCTCTTTTCCATGCGCCCTCGCGCTCAGCTCAGCTGCCCTCGTTTTGTCCCCTTGCTTTCTACCGCCAACTTTGCGAGATTCTTTCGTCGGAACTTGCGCTTGACAAATTCCGCTGGTCGCCCGAGCCTATCCGTCGCCCTGCCGGCCGCCGCTTCGGTAACACAAGCTAGCAGAGAGAGACCAGCGTAGCCAACCGGGACGGCCATGCCCATGCCCGTCACTGTAACCGACGAGGAACTTGGCGAGGCCGGCAATGGAGAAGACACCACCGGCGATAGATGGGTGATGCATGCATGCACACGGCGGCGACAACGGCGCCGTGTGTTGCGGATCCGGGGGAGCACGTAGCAGCGATGCA